ATCATACTTTTATTTTGATACTTTAATATTTATAATAAGCGAATATTGATTGATATAAATCAAATTGAAAATACTAAGCATATGCAATTTTTATTATACCTTATTAATTATACACATATATAATATGTATATAATATATACTATAATCAATAAGATCTGCATTTTGCTCAGTTTAGAAATATCTTTATGTCTATATTACCAAGAAATTGAATTTCAAAATATCTTCTATGTCATGGCAAAATTTCATCTAACCACATCGCACACTTCACAAACAATTTAAGATACATTTTACACAGTGCAAGGAGGTTTCTTTGAGCTAATTAGTGGTCTTACCGCATTTGATAAAGCGAAACTATACACACACACACAAAGACACATATGATGCATGAGTAACTTTCAGGTAGCCAAATATCACATTTATACAAATTGAATTAAATTGCTGTTTATATCAAAATTAATTTAAAATGACTTGCTTCGTCAAATTAACTTTTAATTGGCACGAAATTCAAACTGAAAAGATTCCCAGAAGCATCTTGTGCAGCTGACATGCAAGAACAAATTTCAATTAATACCCAACACAACCACACACACACACATCTCTCATACAATGGGCATCATACACAGACGCCAATTGAAGTGACAACAACAACAATAATAACAACAAATTGCCGCTGTAAAGTAGACTTGAGTTTCTCGTGAATTGTCGCCCCCATCCCGCTCATGTTATATCAAAAGCATCGAAAACCCCATAAATGCGAATAATTAATGTGACATATTCGGCATAATTGTGGCAGCTATGCAGCACACACCATACACACACACACACACACACACACACACACGCACTGTATGCTCTCAGAAGCATTCCTTAAACTAAATTGCATGCCAAGTGGCAACTGCTTGAATGCGTTGCGTTCCATCTGCGCATGGGGCAAGCTAATTGAATTTCGCAAATTGCCACCGAGTCGAAAATGCGTCATTCAATCAGTCAGGCGAAAAGTGTGCAGCTAAATTTGGTTGCGACACAGGTAGAGTCCGCACACGGCACTTCAATTTAAAGCGAGCAGCGTAATTGAGGTGAGAGCTGTGCACAACAAAAACTTTCTTAATACGTCGCAGCAGCAAACGATTTTTGCCAACTTTTCAATGACAGTTTAAGTTGTTTTGCAGTGCCCTAAAATACTGTACCGCCTTTCTACGTCAGCTCTTGCGTTTGCTGATCCACTTCTTGTTTGGCCAACAGCAACACACACACTCAGACACACACACACACACTCGTAAACTTCCGCTGTTGTCAACTCTGTCTCATACATATCATCATTTCATTTCAATTTCAATTTATATGAGCAAAGTTTTATGAAGTGAATGTCATGCTGCCTGACTCTGTCTCTCTCTTTCATTCTCTCTGTCTCCCTCTCTGTCCATCTCTCTCCCTCTCTCTCCTGCTGCTCTTGCTGGGTGCATTTATTAAATTTCATTTCATTTTCATACGTACAAAATACAGCTCATGTTTATTTTACAGCACTCGACTGCACTAAAAGTTCTAACAAGTGCTGATTGAGTGCTGAAAAACTGTCAAATAAATGTGTACAACAAAAACGAAGCGAAACGAAACGAATTGAAATGAAATGAAACAAGTGCAAATGCTGTTAAATTCAAATAGAATTTTACGCTTATGACATGGGCTTAATTGTAAATAAAATATAAAAGAGCGCGATGAAATTTCCATTTTATTTATTGAATTCGTAATAAAACTGATTAATTATTGACAGCGCAGCTAATAAATTTGTTATCATTAAAGAAGAAAAATAATGACAGATAAAATGATAATACTCCGCTTTTATAGATATTTTAAGTGCCTTAAATCACTTAATGTCAATTACATTGATAACCAATGATGGTCTTGTTTTGAAGTTGTCAAAGTTACAGTTGAAACTGGTTCAAAGTAGGTCAACAAAAAAATACATACAAAGATGTCTAGAATTTTTAGCAGACATCTTAAAATATATATTAAGTATATTTGAATATTATATAAATCAAGCCCATGCATATGCAATCTTTACTCTCTGATTATAAATTATGTAGCACATTAAAACACCCAGACTCCTAATAATAATAGTCGCTTAATGCGCCTTAATTAAAACGAAACTCTCAACTCGATGCTTTAACAGAAATTGTTGGACTGAGGGTATGAGGGATGTGGGGGAAAGTGCAGTCAATACGCCAGCCACAAGAACTGCACATAACTATTTATTGTGAGGGCGAAGCTAGCAAAAATATTAAGAAAAATCGTGGTAATAATAATAATGTAAGTTGTGGCATAAGCTCATAAGTGCCATTTAAGCCAGTCGCCCTTGTTGTTGTTGCTGTGGCTGCTGCGGCTGCTGCCAGAAGTCCTGGCCTGACTGCAAAATGGCCCACAAGCTGGAATTAAAATACATATCAAAAGGCGCAACGCGAACTTTTGCCATAGACCAGAAATGCCCGAAAACTTTGTCGTCCCGAGCTCTTTGTGCCTGTGTCCTTTTGGTGGCTTATATGGTGTATGTGTGTGAGCATTTGGCTCAGCTGTTTAATGCAGCTTAAATTTAATTGCAATATAGCCAAAGTTTCATATACAAAATAGAAGCACAAGTAAGCATAGTAGCTAATAAATTTTTATAACACACTCGCACAAGTGACAGCCTTAACAAAGGCCTCGTCTCCTGCTTAATGCTAATTAACATGCAACACGCCCGAAACTATGCAACACATTTCAAAGGTCAAAGCAATTAAACGTACCACACACGAGAAACTCGAGACGACAAAATCATAAAAGCCACAATGCTTTCAACTTATTCCATCCCAACGCTACTGGGAATGTGTAGCGAAAATCTTCGAGAAGTCGAAGCTTGAATGCCTTCTCGGGACAATCCCTATGGTCACAAAGGAAACATTATATTCGATATATAGTTAGAAAGACAGCTGACACTATGAAAGATGATTATTTGACTTATAACGTTCCAGTTTCTTTCTTAAGAATATCATAGTTTTTCTGTATAAATTTTAATAAATTTATATTATTCGATAAATATGATAATACAAAAGTATTACTTCAATATTTATATATGGAAAGCAATTTGCTCTCTGCCGGCTTATATAGTGTTCGGAAACATTTACGACTAAATCTACTATAGCAGTAACACTCTCTTTTTAAAGGTATAAAGTGCCTAGACGCCCCAGCACGTAGCTCCCTCAATTTCGTTTCATTATGTGGCCAAGTGGCAGCAAGTGTGCTTTATTAACACATTTCAACCGTATGAGTCTGTGTGTGTGTGGGTGAATACATTTATTGGAATACATGTACATAACTTTTTTAATACCCGTCGCCTTGGCTGGCTGGCTGGCAATGTTCCTCGGCTTTTGCTGTAATAGTTTAATAAAGTAGTAAAGCTGCGGAAATTAGATTTGACCGCACACCGGCACAGGAGACCTCACCGACCCGACTCCCATCCCCACCACCCCAACTCACAACTGTGGCATAAAACAGAAGTCTGTGGGCCCAGCTTATTTCCGCCGCAGACAAACTTTCCACAGGACAAGAACAAGAGTACCGGAAAAGCAAAAGACCAAAAAAAACACAAGCAAATTATACGAGTACAAGGCGTGCATTGAAGGGAAACCCTTGTTTTGAGGTTTTTCCTGCCTTGTCAATAAAAATGTCCAAAAAGTTTGTGGCCTAAGCATTAAGTAAAAGTCCAAGCCCAAGCCCAAGCATGTTGAAAAGGGTTGTCCAAAAACTACCAATATATGTCCCATTACTCAAGATATTGTGTATGTGTGTATTAAAGTCTGAGCTTGGCTAAGCTACTAGTTTGGCTAAATTTAATTAACTCAGTTGAGCGCATTTTCTGTTTAGAGCAGCGGCGGCATTAATAAAAGATTACGGCGTGCCCCATCAGCCATGAAGTATGCCACTTTAGATATTTGTTACACTTGGCAGGATTATTGAAAAATTAATGCAATAAGCGCCAGAAGGAATCTTCTATAACCCAAAACTCACACACTCGGCTGTATTGAGCGCAATTAGGCGAAAGTGAAATTGACAGCCATGCTTTCTATAATGGATATTGATGTACACACACACACACATACTCGTGCACACATCCACGCTATATTTTGTGTATATAAACAGCTGCCGCGCCAGAGAGGTAGGCTTTAATTTTTGCCTCTTATTTTTAATAAACGCGTGGCGCCTTATTAAATGTCAGGATAATAGCAAAGGCAGCCTTGCCACCTGTCAGCAGCACATATTTTGTTATTATCAGTTTCGCCAGCCCAAGTGTATGCCACACACACACGCATACCAAAGCATATATGTATATGTGTGTATATATATATTGTGAAGCTCATTTTCTAGCTCATTGCCAGGCCGAGTCGGGGTAGGACATGCGCTAAATTAATTTATTCCACTTTTGTTGTTAGACAATATCCTTTTGACTTGCGCGTAACGGGATACGAGGCAGCAGGCAGCTAGAACAACTAGATAGCAACAGCCCTCGCGCTGGCATTTAATGAAAATGAAAATGTCTGAAGGCATCAGCAGCCTGGGCCGTTATCCTTTTTCAAAGCCCCAACGCAAAAGGATACCGAATAATATAAAACGAACTGGTGGGCGGCTTGTAGGACTGAAGGGCAGCGGTTATTGCGGGCTGTGCTAGTCAGTGTCAAGTGACGACAGGATACTTACTTGCTGCCAACTTGTCTGTCAAGATTTCGCCATAAAACAACTATATTTATATATCATAAACATAGATACTTTTGAAAACAAGATGCGGCTTAGGCAAAGATGTGTAAGCCTTTTAGGCTTTTGAGTCTTTATAGTTTAGAATAGAAATAATGTAATTATAATAAATGTTAAATTAGTTAACCTAAAGTTTTAAATAGATAGCTAACAAACTAAGCATTTCAAATTATAAATGATTTTTTAATAATTCGTATGCATTTTTGTGTCTTTTTAGGTAAGTGCACAAGGCTTCATCCTTACAACAAGACACGTGCTCTACGTGGCGGTAAGCAGTTGTCAACCATAAACACATTTTGTATCTAAATATTTGATTTTTTATATACAATCAGTTCATGTAATATTATCAAGTTTACGATTTTCCAATAAAATGATTGAAATTTATTAGTATTACTCAAATCGCAAAGAATCGAATGACAATTCAAAAACTTGGTGCACAAATTTTAGTTAAGCACAGCGTTGCTAGATATTTCACTTGATTTTGTTTCTTTTCTGCCCCAGGCAAATTAACATTATTCACGCAGAAATACTACTCCACTGCCAAGACCACAAAAAACGCATAATCGAAAAACCATATTAATGAGCAACACTGCATAATAATGTACCGGACACGTTGTTATGATAGCTTGAGAGACAGAGAGACACTCTCACATAGAATTTCTCCTCTCTCGACCGTAGGCCTGTGATTTTTGCATAATATAATTACTGATGTTGGCTCAAAGAGTTCATTTTGAGTGACCACTGGAGTTTCAATAAATTATATGCAATTTGTGATGCTTGCAAAATGAGAAAGACAGCGACGATGATTATGAAGACCAATGAAACGCATTTCTACAAAATTCGACCAAATTTATTCAGCAATATAAGTAGAAAATTGACTAAGCCTAAAAGTGGCCTGATGGCCTTCTGCTTCTGTTGTCGTTTTCACTCCTGTTGTTGGGAACTCAATCAAAAATCACATTTCCGTGTTGTTGGCCAGCATTAAAAAATGGGTAGCTCACCCACACACGCATGCCCACGCACACTCATAGACAGCAGTCACATGTGAAGCAAATGTAATTAAAATTCGATATACTTGTTTTCACCCAAAATGCCTACAGAGACTGAAAGAGATAGATGAAGAGAGAAAGAGCGTGAGATAACAGCGATGTCCACAGACAAAAGCAGGAGTCGAGGTCTCATCGGGCTATGCAAACACCCCCATAACACACACACACACACGCACACACACACACACACACACACATGAAACCACAACACAGCCATGCATGTGCAGATTTCATACATCATCATCATCGTCATCATCCATTGGCAACAATATTTACCAGAATTTAAACTTCAATTTAAATTTTTGGTCAGATTTGCACGTTCTCAAGCTTGGTGTGTTTTTGTAATTACACGCACATACGCAGAACACACACGCACACACACACACTCTCTCACACACACACACACACACACATATTTCATGCAAATTGATGTTGCTTTTAGCACACACAAAAGGGGACCTGGTCATATGGCTCAGAAAAATAGCTGCTGCTGCATTTTGGTTGTTGTCTGTGCTACTTTCCAGCTGGCCCACAATGAAGATTTATAAATGCATCACACACAAACTCCACCCACCTCCAGCAAAATGCAGCAACTGGATGGCAATTTAGTCTACTTTTGCATCTGTCAAGTACTATATATGCCATGAAAGCCATAAATTAGAGTAGAACAACGATTCGGCAACAACAATAGAAATGGGGGCAGTTAAACTTATGAAGAGAGGTCGTTGATCATTGCATGATTATTGTTATCATCCTTTGTGTGGGAAAACTAGAATACATCAGCATTCATTATGCATTCAAATTGAAGCGAATATCCTTGATATTATGAGCTTGCCACATATTAACAGTTGATCAAATAAAGGAATATATAAAGCTTAAGTATGTTACTCTTAGACTCAGATTGGATGACTGTTGTTAATATTGTGATAAAGTGAAATGTCATCGAAGTATTCAAAAGGACAGTTTTATAGTATACAACAAAGTTTGATAAGAAATGTTCTGCCAGTTGTTGTATGAGATCAGTGATACTATTGAGACTAACTGCACGTTCGAACAAAGATAATCCTTTGAGGCAAGTGATTAAAATTTAAGCTGTTGCAGATAAAAATGTTCACAATTTTTGCAAAATTATATGGATGTGTTGCATGTTTTAGTTGAGAGTTGCAAACTTCCATTTCCAAACTAACCATTTGCAGATTTGCAATTTCATAAATTTGGAGTTGTTTTGTATTGCATAACTTATGCCAATCACATAACGAAATATTTTGGCTTTTGCACAAATTAAATAAACGCCACAGTGCAACAACGGCAACAAAAACTACAGCAACAACAACAAAAACTATAAAATCGTATACTCGAGCGCATAGCGTAACAAAATTCAATATCGCTTTTAATTGCATGTTGCCCGGGCAACAGCAACAGCAGCAGCAGCGACAGCAACAACAACAATTGACAGACATTGTAAGCCCCATTGCAAGCAGAGCTGCTGAGTTGAGGCTGGGGATTCAAATGGAATGGGGCGGCGAGGGGAGGCTGAGTGTGCTGTCGGTTGAATGTTTGGTTGACTGGCTGGTTGGCAGGCGGGCCACTTACACAAGCCAGAGACTGTTGGGGCCAACCTGTAATTTAGCAAAATGTTATGTAAACTTTAAATCGAGTTATGCATTTTAATTGGTTGTTGTACAATTTGCAAGCGGCACGTTTTGTTTGCAACATCCACATCCACAGGACACAACTAAAGCGCATATTATGCATATGGATTCATGGATCCATGCTTAGAAATACGAGTGCACGTTTCAATGCAACACAGCAACAACAACAACAATAACAACGACAACAATAACATTACATTGTTTCACTTTTTTGCGCAACACAATTGAAATGTTGTAATAAAATGTTATTTAAAACTTACGCACATCATCTCAGCATGTCTCAACGTTGTTTATTAAATTAAGTGTAGATGGGAAACCGAATTTCTAAAAGCTTTCAGCAATTAGAAGACTAACGAGTATGTAGCTAAAAGCAAATAGAAGCTGAAAATCACTTGAAGACTTTTCATTAGCATATCATAAATATGATATAAAATCATGTAACAGTTTTCATAATTAATTTCTTTATTAATACTGTGTATATATATATAGGGTAGCAGACTGTAGAAGTCTAAACTAAATGATATATTCTTCAAACACGCCTGCTCACTTTACTTTACTTACAACGATTTAGCGCTTCTTCTTCAAGATGATCATTGATTGATATCGATTGATATGTACAGAAGATATGTTACAGTCTTATTACCACATTACTAGTAGCCATTTTACCTACATTAATGTGGCTTGCTACAACATGAATAGGAATTTTAATTTCCAAACCTATAACTATATCCCTTTCTTGCTGTGAAATTGGTCGCTTCAACATTCTTCTGTTCAATTTAAAACGGAGAAAGAAATTACACTTTTAATTATGTAACTCCCTGAGGACGTTTTTTTGTTTGTACCCATTTACTGTTGTCCGCTAAATTTAGTATACTATGCAACGATTTGGGGACTTGCATCAAACGCTGCAGCTGAGACGAGGCAAGGCGAGGCAACCACAAGGTGCGCATCTACGCCGCAGCTTAAACTTAATCTACCTCTTGGCTTAATTGCTGCCACTACCTGCAAATTGCACCCAAAAGGCCAACTGGAGGCAACCAGACACCAGACACAACCAAACAACGTTGTCGAGACGGAGTCCCTCTCCGGAGTCTCTTCCGCTTCTTCTTGTGCTTTGCTTGTACTGTGCCCACAGCGCTAACTCATTTTAATGATGCTTCCCCTGCCCCCCACAGCTGGTACAGCTACTGCGTCTTAAGTGCAGCAGTGTCGTCTTGTAGTCCCGTTTCCGTACCTCTATCTTTCTCTGCGACTGTCTACCGTCTTTTGTACCTGGCAATTATGGCCAAGTAGCTGTGCTTACATGTGGCCAAATTGTTGTGGTCGCCTCACGGGCGCATTAAAAATGAATAATGTGCGCGACTCGGTCTCACAATTTATGCACTGGCTTCCAGCGGTTGCCAGCTGCTGCTGCTGCTGCCAGCTCCTAGAGGCGGCTTTCTCAGTTTTCCTGTTGGCATTCCCTTTTGGGCCACTACAACTGCTTGCCCTTTTCAATCATACAAATCCATGCAATCAAATTCCGTTGCGCAATACAATTAGCTTCATCTCTACCTTCCGCAGCTTAAATAAAACAAAACAAGCTGCATGCTTTTGGGGGCGCACTTTATTAGGCTTAAAGTGTATCCTGCTTACCTGTGCCAGTTGCCAGTTGCCAGCCCCCAGCTCTTGCCCCAGCCCCAACCCGTGCCATTGACTTGCGCTTACGCTTTGATGTTCAAGTTAAGCCCAGCTAAATTGATTTTTCTTACTGTGGTCCTGCGTTCTGTGTCCTGCATCCTTACTCCCTGGTCACACTCAGCAATAAACTTCAAATGAAGCGGGCCGCTATTAAGTTATGCGGCTTTATTTGCGGAGCTTTTGTGTTTTGTGCTAAATAAGTGCACAAATAAATCGACAAAGGATACAAGTGTAGAAGGACAGTAAAACAACAAGAACACTTAGCGCTCGGCGAGAAAAAAGTGTAGAAAATGTGAGGTACTTCAAAATAACAATTCTATGGAATAAAGCAGAAAGCCAGTTAATCCAATTGGGATCAGTACTAAAATAACTATTGCAAGTACTAATTTGCCACAATATTATTATTAATTTGCATTGTTTTTTGTTGTATTAACATAATAATATACTAGGTAGATGGTAGATGGAAATCTCAGGACTGATTTATTTAAATATAAGTTTTTTTCTTATATATTTGTAGATTCTTAAAGCTGAAGTTCTTTGTTGTCTGAGTACCTACCCTTAAACTCTGCTAACCATTTCCAATTTCACTAAGTCGCTTTAATAACACGCGTCCCTTTGTAGCACACCTCCCAAACTCCAAACCCAGGACCCAAACTGTGCTTTGCGGCTTTAGTTGCATTTGACTTTGCGGTTTGACGTTGTTGCGTTTGCTTGTTTTGTTGTTGTTGTTGTTGCTGTTGCTGTTTTATGTATTTATTCTCTTTTTTCATTTCGTTTTTATTTTGTTGTTGTTTTGTTGTGTGTTGGTTGCAGCACACGCAACAGCTTTTTGTTCACACTTTCGCCTGGCAAAACAATTTTCCTGCTGGCCGGGGCACCAAATCAGA